CACATTCCCCAGTAATATGGGGAATGCAACCCTAAACCCTAAACCCTAAACCCTAAACCCTAAACTCTAAACCCTAAACCCTAAACCCTAAACCCTAAACCCCTAAACCCTAAACCCTAAACCAATACCCTAAACCCGAAACCCTAAACCCTAAACCCTAAACCCTAAACCCTAAAGTATTTGCTCGTGAGTTCCTTGGACTCCTGGGGTTTCTTAATCAGGTTCCTAGGGTTTAGGGTTTAGGGGTTTAGGGAGGAAGACTGAACCAAGTAAGAAGGCCATAACTACAGTAGCTATATCGTGTTCATATCAAAACTGCGAATAATCCTGTAAACCCAAGCACAACGTCTTCAACCTAAGCCTAAACCTAAACCCCTAATTCAGTTAGACCCTATCTGCAACCGCCCAGGGATCTTCAAGAGGGGTTCGGGCGCACTGTTCAGGGTCAAACCCTAAAGCCTATGCTGTAAGGGCCTTAATAATTAGAAGAGGGTTTTGGGCTCCTGAATAGTATAGTTATGGTAAGAAACCCCAAGGAATACTATTAGTAATTGTTTAGGCCCCTAAACCCTAAACCCTGAACAGAGCTCATGCTTGGCAGCTGAGGGCTCCGAGCCTAAAAGCTTGCGTGGTTGAGGGTTTCATAAGCCTTATGATGTAAAGCTTTACAAAGGGTTCCTTAAAGGGTTACGATAAGGGTCGATAAGGGCTTGAGGGTTCATGAGCCCGGTGAAAAACCGCGATTTCTTGAAACGGGAATTAGGTTACTGTTTGGGGTTATCGTCGGGTTCTAGGGCTCTAATTGAGGTGCTAGGGCATGCCGTTTTAAAAAAATGGACTCTAAGAGTGGTTCTGGGGATAGATAATTAGGGTTTAGGGACTTAAGGTTTTTTAGGGAATTGGGTTTTATTTAGTGGATTAGAGCTTGAGGGTGTTATGTTTTAGGTTTAGGGTTCAAGGTGTTAGGGCTTTTGCGTGCAAGGCTTTGTGGGGTCGCGTTAGATTTTGGGATTGCGGGTGCTGCATTTCAAGGTGTTAGGATTCAGGGTGAAAGAGGTTTAGGGGTTTAGGGTTTTCAGGTGTTAAGGCTTGCTCTACGTAGTGTTTAGGGCAGCTTGGGGTTCTGGTTGTAATTAGATGTTAAGGGGATTGGATCGTATACCGGGGTTGCAGTCTGATAGGGTGTGCGGGTTAAGTCTAGGGTGCAAGGATGGTATGGGTTAGAGGATTGGGTTTTATGTAGGGGTTCTGGCTTCAGTGTGTCAGGGTGTTTTGGTTCAATTTAAGGATTTGGGTTGATATCTATTTGGGGATGAGGCTTGGCGGTGTAGGGAATTGGGTTTTGAAGGTTCGGGGTAATACCAGGAACTCAGACATCGTGCAGTATGTCAACCCTGAACCCTGAATTCTCAAACCCGCACCCAAAAGGCATCCCAGATTGAGAACACGTACACATCGGGGCTTTACTTAGAGCAAATGGAGCCAAAGTTGCGACAGTGGGGTATGTAGTGAATGGTGAACAATCTGCTTTTCTTGTGTACTTCAGCTACCATTAGTTACTAAAATCTTGGACAAAGCTTTGGCTTGGCGGATCCCCAACCCTGAAGCCAAACCTAAAGCCAAAACCCTAAACCCTAAACCCTAAAACCCTAAAACCCTAAAGCCCTAAAACCCTAAAACCCTAAACCCTCAACCGTAAACCCTCAAACCCTGAAAGCGTTAAGTCCTAAGCCGCAAGCAGTAAACCTAAGGCACCGACAATTGCTCGAGTCAAAGGCCCCGGGTCTGGCTATTGGAAACGGGTCAAATTAAAAAATATTAAGGAGTTTAGGGTGTAGGGTTTAGGGCTCTATAAGGGGTACAGGCTTAAGGGTGTAAAATTCAGGACTAATTTCGATTTTGGGATTTCGGGGTGATAGGCGCTTAGGACGTAGTTCTCCGATTAAGACGCAAGGTTCGGGGCTCCAATTTATGGGTAGTTCTTTAAATAAGGGTCCCTGTTTAGGTCCGTTTAGGTCCCCCTTTATTTATTGCGGCACTCTTACAAAGAGGACCCTAAAAGGGACCAGAATTTACAGAACTACCCTTATGTGGGAGACAGCGCGAAGCCTTTCGAGGTCCATTTCTGCCCACAAGATGTACGGGCCAAAGGGCGTCGGTGCTTTGTATGTCCGACGCAAGCCGCGAGCCGCGTGCTGAGCTGTTTTTGTTGAAGTGACACTTACGGGCTCAGTGTAAACCCTAAACCCTAAACCCTAAACCCTAAACCCTAAACCCTAAACCCTAAACCCTGAGCTTAGTGAGTGTGGCGACTTGGGAGGGTCAAGCTGTTGTGGACAATCGGGCGGCTCGCGTTGAGGGCGCATTTATCAGGGCTTCGGCGAGGGAAAAGGAAAGACGGGCTCAGGGCTTTGGGCTTAGGGTAAAGGATTCCCGGATCAGGGATTGAAAAAGCTAAGTTCGTGTTATACGAAGGCGTCCGCAGCAGATTAGAGCCGGGAGAGTTCTCGGGTAGAACTCGAGGGAAATCAAAGCTGCTCTCGGGCTCTCCAGTGTTTCCGCAAGCCCGTTGAAAGTGCAGTCGTAGCAGGATTTTAGAGTTTAGGGTTTAGGGTTTACGGTTTAGGGTTTAGGGTTTACGGTTTAAGGTTTAGGGTTTAGAATCTGTGTGCCTTTGGGTCCTTGAGTTCTGGTTGGCTGTCGGCAGAGTTTTCGCGCCTGCTTAGGAGTAGAGTATGTAACCTTAAACTTTTCTGGTGTACTTTGGTCCCTATATCATCCCAAAGGTTAACCTTTAGTTCCCTGAGGTACCGGACAAGTAACCTTAAACCCCTAAACCCCGAAGACTCAAAAGCCCAAAACCCGAAGACTGTAAACCCTAAACCCCGAGACCCTAAACCCTAAATTCAAAACCCTAAACCCCTAAACCCCTAAACCCCTAAACCCCTAAACCCCTAAACCGTTCTTCTGGCCCTCAACTGCGCAGGAATGAAGCGGCGAGCCCCCAAACCGAAGAAACCCGCGGCTCCGAACCCTCAGTGCCAAACCGGAAACCCGGGTTTAGGGTTTAGGGTTTAGGGTTTAGGGTGTTTTTTCTGGTTTAGGGTTTAGGGTTTAGGGTTTAAGGGTTTAGGGTTTAGGGTTTAGGGTTTACGAACCCGAGGTCCCAAACCTTAATAGTACAGGAAACGATACTATGTTATAGTATACCATAATACAACGCAGTACGATATCATAACATATGAGAACTTTTCCGTATTATTGTTAATTTGTTTATAGTACACTAGTGTAATAGAAATATAAATACTAATATACCCTAAACCCTAAACCCTATACCTTCTTTAACCCTAAACCCTAAACCCCATACCCTAAACCCTAAACCCCATGCCTTCTTCAGCTCCAAGACCAAGAGGTGCGACTTCGTGCCGTGATCGACGGTGGCGGCCAGGACCCAGCACTGCGCAAATGTGGGATTTAGGGTTTGGGGGTTCTGGGTTTAGGGGGTTTAGGGCGTGTGAAACGTTCCGCGCGCACCACCACGCAGGGCGTGTGGTGTGGTGCGCGCCCAGGTTCACTGATCTCTCCCAACCCACCCACCCAGTTTATGACCTTTGTCGGGTTTAGGGTTTTTCTACCCCCCAAACCCCCCTATCAAGGGGGGCTTGCTTGGAGATCGGCCTAGTCGCTTGGTATGGCACTAACGGTAAATTTGAGGTTGCCATCCGAAACCAAACCTTTTTTTAAACTGCTCCTGGAGGGAGCTGTGGACGGAGCTGGGGCTCTGGTGGGGAGGCTCTGGTGGGAACTCAGGTGGGGAGACTGTTGCGGGAGCTTCATTGGATCCTGCCTTGATTCTGGAAGGAGCTGTGGGCGGAGCTGGGGGGGAGCTGTGGGCGCGGGAGGCGGTGGGGAGAGTGGCTCTGGGATGTGCTGGGGCGGCTCTGGTGGCTGGGGGAGGCTCTGGTGGGGAAACCCGCTGTGCTGAGGCTGCTGCGGCCTGTCCTTCTTCGGCAAAGGAGGCTCTGGTGGGGAGACCCGCTGTGCTGAGGCTGCTGCGGCTGCTGCGGCCTGTCCTTCTTTGGCAAAGGAGGCTCTGGTGCGGAGTCCCTTCTTCATTAAGAAGGCAAACGTAAGGGGAGGCTCCGGTGGGGAGGCTCTGGTGGGGAGGCCAAAATCCAAGGTTGTGACCGCTTGTTCCCAAGGTTTAGGGTCATATAATTCTCTCTTATATCCAGCACGCGCAGAGCCGTGCGCCAGCACCAGTGGAAGGTGCTGGGGCTCCTCGCTCGACGCTCGACTGTCGCTCGCTCCGGAGCCTGCTGCATTGAGCGCAGCTACGCTCGCCGCCGGCAAATGCGGCGCCCGCGGCTGGCTTTAGTTTAGGGGGTTTGGGGGCTTGGGGGTTTACCTGGACCCCAAGAAACCCGCCTTCTTTGGGTGATCCATATGATTTGCTCATATACGTCCTTAAAAAGGCAGGTCACTTGGGCCACTTGGGGTTCAGGTGCTTAGGTTCTTGGCGTTGCGAGGGTTTAGGGTTGCGGGGTTCAGATTTTAAAGTTTCGGGTTCAGGCTAGGAGGGTCGGGGGGACTCAGCAAAATATCACATGTATGACTCCTAAATCCCCTGCCGCAGGAACCCTAAAGCCTAAATTCCTAAACCTGAGACCCTGAACCCACGAAGCCCAAACTCTTGTGTGTCAGGGTACCGGGTTTTTGGTTGGTATTTCGGTGCCACCCCGTAGTTTTCAGAGAGTAAACCCTTTTAGTTCTCATCCAAGGGGTTTGGGATTTAAGTGTCTGGGGTCCTTGCAACTTATCTCGGTACAGGTTGTGTAAGGTTTAAGGTTTAGGGGTTTAGAGACTGCTGGGCTTGATAGATCACCCTAAAGCCTAAAGCCTAAACCCTAAACCCCTAAGCCCTGAACCCCAAACCTCCAAAAGCCTAAGCCCTAAACCCCTAAACCCCAAACCCTGAACCCTAAACCGACCTGGGATCCCCGGCAGCATTTCAGGTCTGTCGCTCAGTGCAGTGGTTTGGGGGTTTCCGATTCACAGGTTCTACGGGTGCTGAGGGCCCATGCGCTGCACAGGCATCGGAGACATGTGTTTACAGCGAGAGAGAGAGAGAGAGAGATATATATATAATATATACATGATGTGTGTGTATATATATATATATGTGTACAGAGATATAGACACAACATACATACACAAATACATGAGCTTACATATGTGTACGCATATGTGTCTATATATATGTTTAAGCCGTACATGTATGTTATGTATGGCATTCGCCCGGATCGTATTTCAGTGTTTCACGCGTATTGTTGTCCCGGACCGAGGGCCTTCGCCGGGGTCTACAACAAGATAGCGTTGACCATTTGTGATCAGCGCGAGCATAAGCCTCTGATTGCAGCAGTGTGCCTTGACGACTCCTGGCCCATTGTTGACGGCTACAGTAAGAAAGCCGAGATCCACCGCACCCTGTGGTACGATCTTCTGTACAACCCCCGTGCTGGCCCAGCGATCCCCGAGGGGAATAACTTGGGTAAAGGATTGGAAGCAGGCAGATGAGGTGTTGCGCGTCCTGGAGCCTTCCTCAACCCCCGCAAGCTGGGAAGCCCTTGCCCCTAAACCCTAAACCTTAAACCCTAAACCTTAAACCCTAAACCCTAAACCCTTTCCTTAGCCCTAAACCGACATGCATGCGGCCATGGGAGCAACCCCTGTCCCCCATCGGCCCGGCACTCTGCTTCGGGGCTATGGCGAAGGTGATCCTAGCTTTGGGTTTAGGGTTTACGAATTTAGGAGTTTAGGGTTTAGGGTTTAGGGTTTAGGTTTTAGGAGTTTAGGTTTTAGGAGTTTAGGAGTTTAGGAGTTGGGGCTTAGGCTTTAGGAGTTTAGGGTTCAGGGGTTTAAGAGTTTAGGGTTGAGAGTTTAGGGTTTAGGGTTTAGGGTTTAGGGTTCGGGGTTTAGGGTGTAGGGTTTAGGAGTTTAGGAGTTTAGGGTCTAGGGTTGAGTCTTTACCTGACCTACTGCTTTTGCTTTGCAAGCCGTACACACGATCCTGGCAACAAACACCCAGTCCTCGGCCCAATTCGGACGGTCGCGTTGCAGAACAAAGTCTGGGAAAGCCCCGCCGAAATCTACAAGCCTGAACCCGAAACGTCAAAGCGACAAAGCCCGTAGAAAGAGGCACAAGACCAAAAGATCTCTAAACCTCCTACAAAAACTCGAAAAAAGCCAGGAGCCTAAACGCCCCCCATCCTTCTTTTCCTTGGCTGAAAACCTGTTTTCCTACAACAAAGCGCAAAACACAACAACGTTCTTAATCCACCAAACCACTTAGCCGCGCAACCCCCAAGCCCAAACCCCAACCCTAAACCCTAAGCCCTAAACCCTAAACCCTGAACCCTGAACCCTGAACCCTAAACCCCTGAAGCCTAAAGTCCTCACAGGAGCGTGGCTTCCGCAGTGGCACCTTGGCCACGCCGACGATCGTCGGCTTCGGAGCAGCCGCTGAGGCGGGGTCGCCTTTTTTGGTTTAGGGTTTAGGGCCGTTTAGGGTTTAGGGTTTAGGGTTCAGGGTTCAGGGATTGAGAAAGTAATAAGTAGAGTTATAAGTGCCCCAAAATAGGGATCCTAACTTTGGTTATGATACTTATGACATCTTATGACTGCATATCAAGGGAGTGAGTAGAGTTGGAGTTTCCAATTGCCTCACAGGAATCCTCATTGGGGTTACGATACATAGGAGGTAGTATTTGGGAGACCCCTTAAAGGGGACCCTTCTTTTAGCCCTACTTATGGCTCTCTTAAAAGGGACCTAGCTGAGAGGGTCTATATCCCCAAGGCTTCCCCTAATCCTATATCCGAATAGTATATCTACCAACTCAGTTGACCGACCATCCGCGTAAGAATTCGCTAGAGGTTTCTATTTCTAGGGTCTAAACCTTAAACCCTAAACCCTAAACCCTAAACCCTAAATTGAGGGTTTCATTCTCGATGACGGTTTAGTATCGTTCAGCTTATACAGAAAGAACCAACTTCAGATTCCGATTATACCAGTTTAGGGTTTAGGGTTTAGGGTTTAGGTATCCGGTTCAGCTCACGTACTGTAAAGGTGATTAAGCTGCATGTTGATGTTGGTTATCGCGGTTCTCTCTGTCACGACTGGGATTTGAATGTGGCGCTTGTCGCCGGTGTGACTTACAGCGCTTATTCGACCTAAACCCTATTCCTAAGCCCTAAACCCTAAACCCTAAACCCTAAACCCTAAACCTCAGGGCTCCTTGTTAGAGTTATAGTATGATATGCCCCCAAAAGCCTATTGCCTCCAACCCAAGAGCCGATCCAACCTCACATCGCCAGCCTTTTCTGTTTCATGGCTCAGAACTCTCCGAGGTTTAGGGTTTAGGGTTTAGGGTTTAGGGTTTAGGGTTTAGGGTTTAGGGTTTAGGGTTTAGGAGCCATCTTGCCTAACAGCAGTGCCCCTAACCCAGGCCTCAATTCTACAACCCCAAGCCGTGCAACTCCTCTACCTAGCAGCTTACACAACCCTTCAATACCAAGCCTTGCCGATTGAAGCTTAAACCCTCTACCCCCTCAACTCTATCACGCCCTACCTGACCATATATATATATATATGTACATATGGGGGGGGGGTTCCAAAAATAGGGGACCCTAATATAGTAATCCTAAATCCTGATTATAAGGAGCCCCAAATAAGGTACCCTTTA